ATTTGCTCTTAAGCCTGAGAATCCCCAAATTTTTTTACTCCCTGAGTTCATCTAATTTGAACAAATATATCGGGCTAGAAAAGATCCTAATCAACTATTAAAAAATTAAATGAGAGAATAGTGTGTTCTGTGGTATTTGTAGTAAATGTATGGTGATATATATCGTGTCTCTGGCTTGTGCCTGGCATGGGGCCAGGTCCATGGCACACCCACTCACTCCATGTCTCCGATGAGAAACAGGGACAGTAACATCATGTCTCTGCATAAAAACTGAATTAAATTAATTCAAAAGAAGGGCAGCAGATGCATTAATTCACTTATCCCTGTTTCCCACCTTTTAGGCAGCCTAAAACTTTAATCATTCCTGACCCACTCCCATATTAAGAACTTTTACTGTCATTTCGAAAGTACTCTGAGATTCTTAAGAAGGAAACCTACTTCCCTTGGAAAGCTTATCAGGTCTCTTTATCCTAGAAGAACCTTAGAGACTTGTTAAATCTTCATAAATATTGAGCTCCGTGGTCAATTTTTCTTGGAGAAGGAAGGTGGAGGTGATTACATATAAAATCAAACAAAGAGCCATCCCAGAGCTTTTGAAAGCATTTCAATGCCTTCTCTTTTTATCAGAGTGCTTATTTAAATTCATGATTTAGGGAAGGGGATGAATGCAGCTATTTTGCTCATTTATTTTTTGTGGATAATGTTATTTCAGGATTTGATTATATTTAAATATACAGTCAGTGCTTTTGCACTGCAGTGCATACCCCAGCCAGAATGTCTGCCTTGCAGAAGTTTGTAACTTGATATGCTAGTCAACTGCCAACCATGGGAAACAGGTTTAAGTTAACTACTATTTAAAAAATTAATATATTTTTATTCTTCAAAACACATGCTTCTCAGTCTTTAAGACACTAGTATTTGAGTCAATATATCATCAAATGAATGTAATAAATTATACTGCTATAAACTCCAGGGAAATTTTATTAATGTTTTTAATGTATCCTCATGTGGAATCAACATATGTTTTTTATATATTCATAAATTTATGGCTTCAAAAATCTCCAATTTCAGGGTGTTATGAATGTTGTAATGGATAGAAAATACATAATTGTGAAATGATGTTCTTGAATTTTCATATACTCCTGATAACCATTAGCTCTTGCATACAATAATTAGAATGAAATTAAAAACTTGGAAGTAATGTTTCTGCAGCTCAGTTGCTTCGGGCCAAAGAATTATTTCCAGAATAAGCTGGCAGGTTCCTGCTTGGGGAATTAGGACTCCAGTGTCCTTAACTTTAAAATAACTTGAATTTCATTTTTATGCCTGTTTCATAAAGTGGTCATTCATTTTCATACTAAATTGTAACCAAGGCATACCACATCAATAGAGACCAGTCACTGAGTTTACTGTGTGTTAGGTTGAAGTGAAGTAGAATGTTAAAAATGTTGGCCAGATGGTTGGGTTAAAAAAAAAAATCTGACTACTGATTTGTTAGGGGAATTAAGAGACAGTCTCCTTGCATCTTTATATCCACATCCTGGTACTTAGTAGATTCACCATAAGAAGTTGTTGGAGAAAGAATGAGTCCAGAATGGTACTTTAGATTTTGAGAATTCATGACATAAAATGCTCTTTTTCCATACCACTTCATAGCATTTGTAGTGGGATTTGTAATGGAGATATACTCATGTTTTAGGTTTAGATTTTCAGACTCACCAGTCAAGATGCAAGTTTGTGCCTCCTGGATACTAGGCTTACAATCAGGACACAACAGATGGCAGTGAGGTATAGACCATGACTGTATGGTCTACACTGCAGACTGAGACACAACCGTAAGCTGTTTTCAAGGATAAGTTCTTTCCTTTTAGTTTTAAATTTCTTTTCACAAAAGTAGTTTTGTTTTCATTTAAACAGTTAAAGTTAAGCAGTTGGCAAATGTGCATCTGAAATAATTTTTCTGAAGTTCCAAAACACTTTTAAAGAAAATGTCACTCTTTGTTAGGTTTTGATATTTTTTTTTATATATCAGTACTTAATTCAAATACTGTCTTAACATGTATCTTTGCAATTTGCCTGCTTTCTGGACACGAGAATTAAAAGCCTTTTTGGGGTCTAAGTCAGTGGGGTACAAAAGCTTTTGGTTATCACCTTCCTAATCTATTAGCTGCTTTCCTCAGTTGGGACCTTTCCAAAATAAACAGAGTACTTTACCCCTTTCACTTTTCCTGTAATTTATTTTCTTCTTTTTCTCCACACATAAAAGCACAATGAAATAAGTTATGTAAGTACATGACCTTGTCCACTGGCATAGCTGTTGTCTCCCAGGAGAGTGGCGTCACTTCCCCTTGACCAAGAGAGAGACTTCTCCACCCTAATACTGGTTTCTCCGCCAGCCTCCCAGCTTGGCGCTTCCTGAATGCTTAAAGTTTGATGTAGCCTCATTGAAAGCTTAATAGATTTCTGGGTCATGTACCTATGACAAGACACACAAAAAAGGAAATAGGCAGGGTTACAAAATGCTAAGACCTATTACGATAACATCTGGGACAATGTTCTAATCCTCAAGTCATGAGAATTCTATTAAACCAAGGGAACTAGTTGGATACCTTGTCTACCTTTTAGTTCAGAACTTTAACTGTCATTTAGATGATGCTTTCCGAGGCAGCTGCAATGCTGTTTTTCTCACTTCCAAACTTCTTCCTCGCAGAGGCCTGTCTCAATAATCCCATTAGGGGTATGTGCTCCAATTGGAACAGAAAGGGAGGTGAGTTATGGTATGAGATGTAAGTGGTGAAGGGTGAGTTTGAGAAGGATTGTAAAGAAATAAGTGGAAAGCAAGATCAAACAGTATCAGACATGATAAATAAAATACAAAATAATCACACCATTAAAAGAAAATTGGTCATGTGGAGGATGGATCTGTCAAAACTCATAAAATTGTATACCCACCAAAACATGACTGTATATAAACTTAAAAAGTACAGGCAAAAGAGAGGCAGCATAAATAACCATAAAATGTAATGTTTGTACAGCAATGTGGATATACTTAATGCTGGACTGTTTACCTAAAAATGGTTAAGATGGTCAATTATGTGTATTTTACCACAATGAAGAATGTTTAAATTCAGGACTACAAAAAATGTAATGTTTGTATAATGGACTATTATTTAGTTATTAAAATAATTTCTCCAGAGAATTAGTAATAAAATGGGGGAATGCTTCTTATATTAGATTAAAATTAATACAAAGTTGAATTAAATATGCTTTCACATCTGTAAGTCATGCAGAAACACTGGATGATTAAATGCCAAAATATTGAGAGGGAAGGTCTTGGCGATGGGATTTTGAAAGATTGATTATTCTCTTTTATACTTCTTGGCATATTATTAGTTTTCACTTACTCTTTTTGTAATCAGTAAAAATGGAGTCATCAGCAAATAGGTGCAGTGAATTGTGTATTACTGAAATAGATTATCAGTCATTTCATATAGGCTCCGATTTATACCAGCAAAAAGTCAGATCCACTCAGATCCACTTTTTTCTTTTTATAGAGAGGCAAGGGGGGTGACAGAGGGAGAGAAAGAATCTCAAGCAGACTCCCCACTGAGCATGTGAGCCCAGGGTTCAATCTCAGGACCTGAGATCATGACCTGAGCTGAAATCAGTAGTTGACTGCTTAACTGACTGAACCACCCAGTGCTCCCACTCAGATCACTTCTTAAAAATGTCTATTCTTCTAGGACTAAATATTTTATTTATTTATTTTTTTAAATAATAAATTTATTTTTTATTGGTGTTCAATTTGCCAACATACAGAATAACACCCAGTGCTCATCCCGTCAAGTGCCCCCCTCAGTGCCCGTCACCCATTCACCCCCACCCCCCTCTCCTCCCCTTCCACCATCCCTAGTTCATTTCCCAGAGTTAGGAGTCTTCATGTTCTGTCTCCCTTTCTGATATTTCCTACCCATTTCTTCTCCCTTCCCTTCTATTCCCTTTCACTATTATTTATATTCCCCAAATGAATGAGAACATATAATGTTTGTAGGACTAAATATTTTAAAACAATTGAAATATATCAATTGACTTTCAGTGCAAGATGATGAGTTAAGCCTGTGTTTAGCTTTCTTTGCTGCAAATCTGTCATTGAATTGACCAGGAAAACAAAAAGGTAAAATAGTGTAATTGAAAGATTGGGAAAGGTACCATTAGTGGACCAGCTAACTTTAAAGAGTTAATATAAACTATGGAGCAGCGAGCACTGATTCAGGAAAGTAGCTGCTAGATGGAATCTCAAGCATTCAAAGGAAAAATCTGCCTTGAGAATGAGTGGCAGGGTAATAGAGCCAGTGGCTGGAGGGGAGGACAGTGTTGGTGGCGGTCTTTCCTGGAGGATTTTCAAATCTATATACGACTTCAGACCCTATAGGCCCAGTCTCCCAAGAAAGTCACCCAGACACCATTCAGTAAAGCCAGTAGTTGAAATAAAACGTAGAAGGGTTGCCTCAAGCAAATGTCTGACAGAGAGCATTGTATCAATTACAGAAGGGGGTCATGGGGTGTCCAGCCAACTTAGGTTAGTTACTTCAGTGAGGGAGGGACACAGTACACAAATGCTTCTACCCGGAGCTTCCTCTTCTTTTTCACAGAAGAAAAACCCCACAAGTATGCACACACGTTATCCATTAATTTCAGTAGTTATATGGCTCCCAGGGTAAAAACTGCATGTAAGTAATAGCATTACATTAATTCAGCTAAGGAATTCACTTTCTATGTAAAGTGACAGTTTCATGAGACTCTTGCCCTCCTGGTTTTTTGAAAGTTATTTCTTAGAATTTAAACTTTGAATCTCTGAGGTAACATAAACTAATAAAAGTTTTATCAGCATCACCTTGTATTGGCTTGTCTTCCTCCTACCATCCTTTCCTTCCTTCTTTCTTTTGTGTCGCTTGCCACTTCCAAGAAATCATTTCTTTTTCCCTCTTTTTCCCCTCTAGGAATTGTGAAGGACAAAATATTCGATACAAGACATGCAGCAATCATGTAAGTTCTGTAATAAAAATATATAATCCAATAATGCCCATGTGTTAAGTTGGAACATTATACGTACTGTAAAGCTAGTGACCTCTTGATACTCTTTGTGGAAAACTTAAATATTTTTAAATTGACAACAGATTTTGTGTATCTCATACCTTCCATGTGTGTACTACTTATTTAGGCCATTTCTCATTTATAAACTAATTCGGTAAGTATTTAATAATTCCTGAATTCATAGAAACAATACCTGATGCCTGTAAATGCCTCCAAAGTTCAAAGTGTGTTTATGCACACTGTGCCACCTGACCCTCACACTGTCTCTGAGATGTAGGCAGATGAGGTGTGGTTATTTCTCTTTTGCAAGTGAGAGGCCTGGTGTAAAATTATTTTCCGTAGGTCACAAAGGAAGAGCACAGACTTGAATTGGTCTACTGCTGTTTTTCCTGCTCCGAACCACCTGCCCTGCCCACTGCAAAATGTGTTAAGAGCACTCTATTGGTGATTCAAGAAAATTGTACATTTAAGCCTCACTCTTGTCCTACAATGACGAGTAACTAAAAAATTCAAACATTTTGCTTTACAAATCTGAAAATGCAAAATAAATATCAGAAGGAATCAATCCTATTTTCCACTGAAAACCGTTTCCTTGCCTGTTATATATGCACAAATGAAAACGATAGGAATAAAAAGGAAACTATTAGAATCTGGAAATCTAAGTGAGATTTAGATTTTTTTCAATCCATTTTTCTCAGTTGGTCATGATTAATTTATTTCAAAAGTTTCACTCACTGGGGCTTCGTCCCTCTTCATCCCTTCTCTGTCCTGGGCCAGCGTGAGACAGAAGTCCTGTCTGAAGGCTTCTGTTCTGCAGACCCAGACTTGCCCTGGGAGGGCAGCCCTGTCAAGCTGGAGCAGTAGTCAGCAGGCAGTGTGAGCCAGACCTGACTGTGGGGCTCAGCTGTGTTTTCAGTCTGTTTTTATCAGTGATGAAGCAGAAAAGATGGTCTTTCCCACTCAACTGATTTCAACCTTAAGTGGGAAATGTGGGTGATTATTTTGGGGCATTCAAACTCCAATATCACTCAGCCATTAGACACCCAGTTTAGTGTCCATTAATTCCTTGGAGGAATTTGGGGCCACAAAGCAAATAGATTTCACATGTCCTATGACTGGATGGAGGGCCAAGGAATTGGGAGACACCTGTGTGCATGATGCTTAATTAAATGAGCTTAGATCCAGGTCAGGGCTGGGAAGGAGAGAGATTGACTTGAGCATAGAGGCAGTCGTTTCATTACAAACAGTTTGGCTTTGTTTTCTTATACAAGCACGTGAATACATTAGCAGCCTGAGGGTTTTATCTAGGAAGCATTTGATCTACTACCTTTTACTTGGGTGTATATTTTTTTGCCATTTTTTTAGGGTTTTTTTTTTCTTTTTATAAAGTGCTGCTTTAATACATTACCACAAATTCCTTGCAGTCATTCAAAAATAAATTTCACAACAGTACCCTCACAAGCAATGCTCTGAAACTGTCTAGGGGAATTTATTTAAAATGGCCAGATCAGGGTGTTGCCTTTTGAGATTTCATTCTTGGGTTTCTGTGTGTGTGTGTGACTCTGGTCTCGCTAATTCCAAAAAGGCACTTTTTTTTTCAACACAAGTGTTACGAGGGTCTAGGAGTGTTGGGTCATACAGTGTAGACATACAATATAAACTACTAAAATTAACGCATATTGGGTGCAGTGGTTAGGACTTGGCTTGCACTTGAGTGAGGATCCCATCTGAGGTTCCATGGGTCTTGGGAGGACCCGTGGTCTCTAAGTGCGGGCCCCTCTGTGAGGATTCTGACTGCTAGGCTGGTGAGGATTAGATGTTTAGAAGGTGGTGACCAGTGGGGAGGACAGCAATGTGAATGTTGCTCTGTTTAGTTCTCAGAGTTGGAGTCCTTAAAGAAATTTTGCAAGAATGTGGCATTCATCACTATGCTTGCCATTACAAACTCAGAGTTTTTGACAAAATTCCTTTTAGGAAACAAGGGGAATTGTGGCAGGGCTTTCAGGGCTACGGCATTCAGGAGAGCCCTCCATCTCCATGTGCCAGGGTCTGCAGCTGAGCATCCTCGAGCCCCTCTGCAAATGAGAGGTGGCTCTGTGCAGCCCAGCTGCAAGGCTGGTGCTCTTTAAGGAGTCTGTTCCTCCACAGGAGAGAGGATACAGTGTGTTCCTGGGAATATACCATAGAAACATTGCCAGGATGTCAGGCACCATGAGTGGATGTAACCACATGAGCTCAGGGTACAAAGATAGTCACATCTTTTCTTGAGTTGCTTTCTGCTTTATCAATTGGGATTTAGAATCACCCTTTTGAGATCACCCACTCTCTATCACCCAGAGTGGTGCAGAGGGCAGGAGGAAGGCCAGTGTGCAGCCTACCTCCAGCGGAGAGAGAACAGCAACCACTGCTGTTGCTTCTCATGGCCATTCAGTGTCTCCATTGGGAACAGGCCACGCTATCTCCATAGTCATGGCTTCCCATTCCCCTGGAAATGGGGCCCATCACCCACTCTTCTGAAGGAAGCTGATGTTAGTGATTCCGGGACGAGGCACTCTTGTGAGGGAGATTTGCCTTATGATTCAGAGATGCCCACACCTATATTTCCAGGGGCATGAGAGCCTGTCCTATGGGGATGTGAGATCCCCTGTTCCCACCTGAGGGACCTCACCACCTCAGTTTTGAAGATCAGGGAAGCCTGCTCTGTGGAGAACAGAGGTCACTGCCTGTGGGGGGGCTCCAGGGACCTACCATTCCATCCCACCCTAGAGGTGGCTTGTACTTCTTTCTGTTCCTCCACATCATTATCTGAAGGCTCAGACTCAGCCTCAAAACGAGAGTTTGTCATCTGTGTGTGCCAGCTTCTAAACTCTTAACCAATATCAGTAGTAATAATGATGATGATGAATCACACATACTCAGTACTTCCTAAATGTTGGCATTGTTCTAGTGCCTATCCATGAATAAATTGATTTAATCCTCATAATGTCTTGATGAAGTAGATATTTTTATTTCTACTTTTTAAAAAAGAGTTATGCATTTATTTTAGAAAGAAAGAGAGAACAGGGGAGGGGCAGAGGGAGAGGGAGAGAGAATCTCAAGCAGATGCCCTACTGAGCGTGGAGCCCTACGTGGGGCTCTATCAGACCCTTGGTATCATGACCTGAGCCAAAGTCAAGAGTCATATGTTCAACCAACTGAGCCATCCTGGCACCCCTCATTTCTATTCTAACAAAGGAGGGTTAGGAAACATGACCAAGGTGAACTATACCCGAGGCAGTTGGGCCCCAGGCTCTGGAGTGCCAGCTTCTATCCACTCTGCTACACCAGACTGCCTCTTGGAAAGGAGCCTGAAAAGTCTCAAGCTCTGTTAGATGTGAGATGGCACTATAGACAGAGCCTAAAACGCGGCTGCTCTTCCCAAGCCAGGAGCACGACTCTCAGGGTGATCTGCAGGAACTTTCCCCTTTCAGATACTGTTATAGAATTGCCAACCCCAGGAGCTGCAGGACAGACCTTCCGGATATTCAGAGTTGGCAAGGGGTAGAGGTTGGAGAGAGGAGAGACAGCGGAGGGGAAGTCACGGAAACGAAGTCCTCCACAGCCGTGGGCCTTCCACATTAGTGGCCCAGGGGGTTCCCTGACATGGGAGGATTGGGCTTGACATGAACAGATCCTGACAGCCACATTTCTGATCTCTGCCTACCTCAGCAGAAGATGCCTGAGAAAAATAGGATGCAGGCACTCAAGGAAAGACCGAATGTCTTTCTGTTAGGAAGTGTGGATGTGATAGGGATGCACATTCAGAGGGCAGAGAGGAAGAAATCCCACTCCTGATGGCACAGGAACAGGAGGCATGACAGGGAATGAGGACCACACTGTCCTCCCTGAGAAATTGGAGAAATGCACGTTTGGGCTGGAGGGTCTGGAGAATCCGAGGAGCACCCCCTAATCCCAGGTAATTGCCATCTTCAGCAATAACCCTCCAATTAATGCTCAGCAAAGACCCTGATGGCCAAGACCAGGCCTCTGAGGCCTCAGTGAAGAATTTTCTTTATCAGGGGTATTCCAGAGCCAGTGGAGACTTTCCAAGGGAGCTCATGCATGTCAGCAAGGGGTTCTAATGCTTGAATTCACTGACTACTCATTTTTTTATACCAGGGTTTATGAGATCAAAGGCAGTGCTGGAAGAGAGCAGAGGGAAAATATCTTTAAAAACAAGAGTATCATGGTTTGGTAAGAGTGTTTTTGCAGCATAAACACATTTTTATGTGAGCACACAGGGAGTAATGGTTAGCTCTGCACATTGGGGTCCCTGGTAGCTTTCCAGAGGAGACGAAATTTGATGTGACCTTTGAAAGGCTCTTCATACTATGGGTCCTGAGGATGGCTAATTTCTGGCAGTTTCTTCTTAGAGGTGTTCTTTACTTTCTCCTGTCACTTCTCCTGCCCCAGTCCATCCTGCCATCACACTGGTCCTCCTAAGTGCCACGCTTCCTCTGTGGATCCTTACTGCTTTTTAATTCCCCTGACTTGCATTCAAGGACCTCCAGAAGTTGGTTAGACTTATCTTGTGTTCAGCTCACAAACTTTTGCTCTTGCTGGACATGACTGGTTCCTGTCCCTCATCACTACTGCATTTATTTCTGTGGTCCCTGTTGCTTGTGTTGTTCCCTATTTGTGATCCTTCTTTTTTTATTTTTAACATTTTATTTATTTATTCATGAGAGACACAGAGAGAGGCAGAGACATAGGCAGAGGGAGAAGCAAGTTCCCCACAGGAAGCCCAATGTGGAACTCGATCCCAGGGCCCCGGGATCATGACCTGAGCCAAAGGCAGTCGCTCAACCACTGAGCCACCCAGTGTTCCCTCCTGTATGTTGTCCTAATTACATCATGCCCTTAAATCTCATCTGGAATGTCACTTTTCCGGGATGCATCATTTGCTAATGGTCTTAAAATAGCCACTCACAATAATTCATTTTCATGCTAGAAATTTTGGCATTGGGTTATTTAGAGGATCCCCAAATTTAACTCATAGTAAAACTTGGATAGGAAGATAAAATAAACATTTTAAATTTGCTTACAAAAGAAATCATATTTCTCCTAAGTGTCTCCTCACTGCTTATCTGGGGGAAATGACATAAATATATAACCCATATTAAAGCTTGGTTCAATCCTATTATATAAATCATCCCTTTGTTAATGGTTTATCTCTTCTGCATAAAAATGCTCCATTTATTAGATGATCTCCCTGTCTCAGCATTTCTCCTCAGGTTGTCAATGAGAATGACTTGTGTATCCTCATGGCTTGAGCAGGAAAAAGAGATCTCTGTCTTCAGGATGGTCCTTGAATGAGGGCTAGTGCTTGAATGAATGAGCCTCCTCCCCTCTTCGTTCTTCTCCTCCTAATCTCTACACTCTTCCTCCTTCTTCTTGTCTATGCTTTCCAGGCTGGTTGCCCCCTCCTGATTGAGTCAGGTCTTCCTGATCTAGGATCTGTCCTTTCCTTATTAGCTCCACTTATTCACATTTTTAAGATTTTTATTTATTTATTTTAGAGACAGAGAGAGAGAGAGTGTGTGGGAGGGGGACAGGTTGAGGGGGAGAGAGAATCCCAAGCTGACTCCCCTCTGAGTGCAGAGCTCCATGTAAGGCTGGATCCCAGGACCCTGAGATCATGGACCCTGAGTTAAAATCAAGAGTCAGATGCTTAAGTGACTGAGCCATCCAGGTGCCCTGCCACTTAATCAATTTTAATTTAACACTTGGACAGCAATTTTATTTCCTTAATTGCAAAGTCTTACTTGTGAATCCACAAACAATAACCCACTATGTCAGTATATTTCATGCATGTAGATGCTACATCTCCAGTAAATAACAAGCTAAGTGACAGCAGTGGATGTTCTCCATAGCATGTAACCTAGGCAAAGCCCATAAAGTATATTTAACAAATGTGTTGTCTTAACTGATAGGAAGAAATGCTTCTCATGGAAAGGAAAGCTGAAGAATGTTTGGTATTCAAGTTTCCTAAATATCAACTGAACTATTTAAGACACAAGAATCCCTAGATTGTCTTGAGCCAGGGCAGGGGACCCAGCAGAAGCCAACTAGACAGCCTTAGTGTTGACATTGCAAGAATGCCAAGTAAATGAAAGTGTTTAAAGTAAGTCCTCAATGTCTTTCAAGATTACTAGAAAGTGGTATCATGTAATGGAGCACTTGTTACTTTGGGAATCATTCTTGGCTCTGTCATATTCTGGGTATGTGTCTTTGGGCTAGTGACTAAAGACTGTGTAGAACACAGTTTCCTCTCTTTATAAAAATGAGGGTAATGATAACTCTGACCTACCTCCCTCAAAGGGTGGTGGTGAAGAAAGAATGTCAGTAATGATCCTTCATAAACTGGAAAGCACTATTCAGAAACAGGATTTCCCAGGAACAGAAACCCACCCGAAATAGCTCAAGAAAAATGGGACTCACTGTTTGGATGTGCGGATATTAGTGGAATTTGGGCATCAGCACACCTTGAGGGGGCCTGGACCCAGGAATCAAAAAGTGAGAAACCCAAGTTACATACTTTTACTGAAATGCATGGTTTATCATCTTTCCTGCTTTCATGTCTAATTCATTCTTCTCTGCTGTGGGAATTGGCTTGCTTTGCCTCAACAGGCATCTCATGAAAGAGATGGTTAGCTCAGCCACACAGTGATGGGAGTCCTCAGCTCTAGCTCTTCTGGTGCAATCCCAGATTCCTGGGAAAGACTGTCCAGAAGTGGACCTGGTGTTTGCCTCTGATACTCAGCTGTGGCCAAGGAGGCTAGGTATCATGTCCAAACCTGGCCACCCTTCCAGCAAGGACTAAGTGGAGGCTGGCTGTTATTTAAACATTGTTAATTTTGTGAAACTTCATTGGCTTATGGAGTTTTATATTTTTAAAGATTTTTATTTATTTATTCATGAGAGATACAGAGAAAGAGGCAGAGACATAGGCAGAGGAAGAAGCAGGCTTCCTGAGGGGAACCCAATGCAGGACTCGATCCCAGGACCCTGGTATCACACCCTGAGAGCCAAAGACAGACGCTCAACCATTGAACCACCCACGTGCCCCTGGGTTTATAGAGTTTAAGGCAGTCAGGAATCAGCAAGAAATGTCAGCCCCTAAAGCCTGCTTCCCCTAATGCAGGGGAAGTTGTTTTCAGTCTGCTCTCTCACACTCTTTGGCTTGGGTTTCAAAGAGTCGGATATAGAGAAAACTGGCTGTGGTTAAGGGAAGAGGAGGCCATAGAATTTTATCAACGGATGATCTTCCCTGGGGCTGGATTGGAAACACAGTCCTCATTTCAAGAGAGAAAGGTCAACCAGTTTGATCTTTAGTTCAACTCTTTCTTTCATAGGTGTGACCTGGGTTAAGGTTTAATCTTTCTTAAACAGAAAAATGTGGATGCCGTACAGGATTTTGGAATGATTTACTGCAAACTAATACAACCGATCCTAGGGGGAAGCTTATTTCTTATATTTTATCTCTTCCCTACCTACTTCCAAAAAGGATTTGAGGCAGATTATAAAGGCCAGAAGCATAAATACAGTAAGATACAAAAGTCATAGTGAAAAGGGGAGAAACGAGAGAAATTGATGAAGATTCTGGATGATAATATATTAATAATTATTTGTAGAAATAAAATAAGATGGGTTTCTACCTTACACTACATATCAAAATAAATCCTCGATGTAACAAAGAGTTAAATATAATTGCTAAATTAGAAAGGAACTAGAAAGATACATTTCAGTATTTATCTGTTCTTAGGCAGGGTAGAAGAAGCATTTCTAAACTCATTTATGAAGAAAGAAGCCTTAAAAGGAAATATTAATGGAACTGACTACCAGGACGCCTGGGTGACTCAGTGGTTGAGCGTCTGCCTCTGGCTCGGGGTGTGATCCTGGGGTCCTGGGATCGAGTACTGCATCAGGGTCCTTGCAGGGAGCCTGCTTCTCCCTCTGCCTGTGTCTCTGCCTCTTTCTCTGTGTCTCTCATGAATAAATAAATAAAATGTTAAAAAAAAATAGAGCTGACTACCTGAAAACATAAAGCTTCTTGACTTCTCAAAGCACCCAAATCAAAATCAAATGGGGAACATATTTCCAGTACAGATGGCAAAGAGTTGATAACCTTATTAGGAAAGTTGATAGTTGTTAAAACTAGCAAAAAGCAAATATACATGAAAACTATCAAACCTAAGAAAGGAAAGAAAATATAAATTAAAATAATGAAATTCTATTCAACACGATTGGAAAAATGTTAGAAAATTATAATATCCAAGCTGAGAAGAGAGATTGAGAAAAAGGGAATTTAGGGAGCCTGGTGATAACAAGGAAGGAAATATCTGGAGGGCTATCTGGCAATAGTTTGAAAAGCTCATGAAACACACCCTTTTTCTCAGAAATTTTCTTACCAGAAATTTGCTTTTGGGGAATTATCAAGGATTTGTGTGAAGATTTAGGTACAAGAATCTTTGTCTTTTATTCTTTTTTTAAAAATAGATACTATTTCCCAAAGGTTTTATAAGGACCATCGATTACTTTTGTAATAAGAAAAAATATAAAATAATATATTGCCTTTCTGTATCCATTTTCTTTAATTGGGAAGTTTGTGTAGGATTAATTAATTCCCATCAATTGGGAAGTTCGTACCCAACTTTGAAGAGTAAAGTCATATTTTGTTAGCTTTGGAAGTATCGGATGGGAGGGATTAGTAATTAAGTAAAAAGATTTCTGAGTCATCAAGACTTGCACAAACACTTTTTACTATTATTATGAGAGCTCCCTAGAGCATTTACTTAGAATTTCCTTGCTGTTGTAGACAGAATTTGAACGAGCTCTGTTTTCTTTCTCTTTCCATCCTCTGGCAGGTTGAAGGCAGGCACCTAGTTCCAGAGAAAAGCAGTGGTTGGGGGCCCGGCCAGAAGGGAAGAAAGACACATGAATTAAACAACAAAAACAGAAACAAAGAAACAAATTCTCACAAAGCACAACAGTTTGGGGCCAACCTAGGGACAAATAGTCCTTCCCATTAAATTGGTTCCTTGAAGGCATGGATGATAGTTAATATTCCATATAAAGACCTGGAGTCACCTGGGAAGATTAGAAGCAAGATGGTGAAGAGAGAGCATTTAAATATGGGGAAGAAATGATGTGAATCCCTGGTGGGGTCTGGTCTCCTGAGACTCTTGTAAACTCGTTCAGCCTTTCCGTGGCTTGTCTCTCTGGGTGATGTGCTTGTGGCCTTTCTTCTCTGCTTCCAGGACTGCCCTCCTGATGCAGAGGACTTCAGAGCCCAGCAGTGCTCTGCCTACAATGATGTCCAATATCAGGGGCGTTATTATGAATGGCTTCCTCGGTATAATGATCCTGCTGCCCCCTGTGCACTCAAGTGTCATGCACGGGGACAAAACTTGGTTGTGGAGCTGGCCCCCAAGGTACTGGATGGAACTCGCTGCAGCACAGACTCCTTGGACATGTGCATCAGTGGCATTTGTCAGGTGAGCCACACCTGCTTCCCATACCCTGGTTCATTTGCCATGCTTGCTCTCCATAAAGAGACTTTTCTTCATGTAAATGAAATATTGTCTTTGATCATCTTCATGTAAAAAATATTGTAGAGGGTGTTACTTGCCTTCAAGTTATGTTTTACTTATTTAAAAAAGTGTAAACTTTGTCTACATAGAATCAAAATATTGCAGTAAATACCATCTTAGGATTCCTCTGGGTCATTGGATCTCCAGCTTGAAGGGACATCAGAACCACCTGAAGGACTGGTTAAAACACAAGGTGATGGGCTCCCATTCCCAGAGTTTCTGATCCAGTTAGGTCTGGGCTGGAGCCTGATAATTTGCATTTCTGACAAGTTCACGTGGGGGCTGCTGATGCTGCTGGTCCAAGGACCTCATTTAGAGAACCACTACTTTGGAATGGTAGTGTCAAAAGGTCCTTTGAGCGTCTTAACAACTTATTGTTTTATTAAAATGAATTTATTATTTTGGGTCTTTGAGAGCAATGACTTACTTATTAAAAACTTAGCACAAATGCATTCCAGTATATTTTTCAGAGTGGGGTTTGCAAAACTGTGATGCATGTAACTGAAACATCCCCCACATCCCCTCCCCCAGCTTGCAGTGGGTATGAGGATTCAGGGCACTGTGACAGGTTGTTGAGATAGAATGGGAATGACAGGGAGATGATGAGAGTCCACCCCCATTCCTTAATCTCTGGAAAAATATTTTAAAAGAATTATGTCTAGTATTCCATACCCAATTATGCTCATAACAAAAACAGTATGAATGAGAGCAAGTGGACACCTCAATCACCTACCAAGTGTTGGGCACCACCAGCCATCTCAGACGTTTCATAGTCGAAGCTGAACCATGTTCCTGCTCTTCAAAGTAGCTTCTCCTTCTTCCATCTGTCCATCTAGAAAATGGCCTCCAGTTACTGCAAAATTTTGGAGTCCTTGATTCTCCTTTTTCAACACATACAGCCAATCCATTGTCATTCTGTATTCAAAAGTCTTTTTATTGAATCCACCATTCCTTTCTGTCTGCATGACTTCTTTTTTGGTCTAAGCCTCCATCAACTCTGACCTAAAATGCATTGCTAGCCTCCTCCTCTGATCTCCCAGCTTCCACCACTGTTCTCCTCAGGTCTACTCTCCAAACAGCAGCTGAGAAACCTAAGAAAACCTAAGAAAAAACCTAAGAAAGCTTCATTTTAAGAGTTTGTCACTCCCCTGACTCAAATCTCTCAATGACTTATCATTGCATTGATGTGGTAACTGCGACCCTTGCTTGCCTTTCCAGGCTCTTTCTGGACTATTTTCACTCCCTCCCCACCCTTTTTAAAAAATAGACTTAATTTTCTAGGTTCCCAGCAAAATTGAGTAGCAGGTACAGAGAATTCCCTTCTATCCCTTGCCCCTTTCTATGTATAACCCTGTCCACTATCAGAATCCTGCACCAGAGTGATACATTTGTTATGATCAATGAACCTACATTGACACATTTCACCCAAGACCTGTGTTTACATTAGGGTTCACCCTTGCTGATGTGTATTCCATGGGTTTGACAAATGTTTATTGACTGTTTCTACCAGTAGAGTATCTTACAAAATAGTTTCACTGCCCTAAAAGTTCTCTGTGTTCTTCCTATTCATCCTTGCCTTCCCTGCCAACCCCTGGCAAGCATGGATCTTTTTACCATCTCCATAGTTTTGCCTTTTTCAGAATGTCTTATAGTTGGAATCATAGAGTATGTATGCTTTTCAGATTGACTTCTTTCACTTGGTAGTGTGCATTTAAGTACTCCATATTTTTTCATGACCTGGTAGCTCATTTCTTTTCATCATTGAGTAATATTCCATTGTCTGAATGGACCACATTTTACTTATCCATTTACCTACTGAAGGATATCTTTGTTGCTTCCAAGTTTTGGCAACTAGAATAAAGCTGCTTTAAACATCCATGTGCAGATTTTTGTATGGCACAATTTTTGACACATTTGGGAAAATACAAGTATACTTGTTGGATCATGCTAAGAGTATGGTTAGTTTCATAAGAAAGTACCAAATTGTCTTCCAAAGCAGCTGTACCATTTTGCACTCCCCACCAGCAATGAATGAGACTTTCTATTGCTCCACATCCTCACCAGCAGCAGTAGTGTTGTCATTCTTCCAGATTTGGACTCTTCTATTAGGTGTGTAGTGGCATCTCATCATTGCTTTAATTTGCAAGTCCCTTAATGACATATAATGTTTAATATCTTTTCTTCTACTTATTTGCCATCTATAAATCCTCTCCAATGAGGTGGCTGTTCAGCTCTTTTGCCCATTTTTAAGCTGGGTTGTTTGTTTTCGATTGTTGAGAGTTATTTGTATATTTTGGGTAACAGTCTTTTGAAAATATTTTTCTCCCAGTATAATTCATTTTCCCACGTTCTTGACAGTGTCTTTTGTAGAGCAGAAGCTTTTAACTGCAATGATATCCAGCTTAACAATTATTTTTTTCCAGGCATTGTGCCTTTGGTAGTACTGTACCTAAAAAGTCATCATCAGGGCAGTCCAGGTGGCTCACAGTTTAGTGCCACCTTCAGCCCAGAGCATGATCCTGGAGACCTGGGATTGAGTCCCGCATTGGGCTCCCTGCATGGAGCCTGCTTCTCCCTCTGCCTGTGTCTCTGCCTCTCTCTCTCTCTGTTTCTCTCATGAATAAATAAATAAAATCTTTAAAAAAAAGTCCTCATCATACCCAAGGTTATCTAGATTTTCTCCTATTTTATCTTCTAGGAGTCTGTAGTTTTTTGTTTTACATGTAGGTGTATGATTAATTTTGAATTAATTTTTGTGAAGGATTTAAGTCTGTCCTAGATATTTTTTTTTGCCTGTGGATATACAGTTATTTAATTACCATTTGTTGAAAAGATGATCTCTTCTCCATATTATTCCCTTTTCTCCTTTGCCAAAGATCAGTTGACTGTATTAATGTATTTCTATGCTCTCTGTTCTTTTACATTAATTTATTTCTCTTATTTTGCCAATACCACACTATCTTGATGACTTTAACTTTGTATTAAGTCTTGAAGTTGGGTAGTGTTAGTCTTCTGACACTGTTCTTCTCTTTCAGTATTGTGTTGACTATTCTAGGTCTTTTCCCTCTCGCTCCATAAACTTTAGAGTCAGTTTATCAGTATCCACAGAATAACTTCTTGGAATTAAATTGAGAAGAACTAACATCCTGACAACATTGAGTCTTCTTGTCCACAAAGGTGGAATATCTCCCCATTTATCTAGTTCTTTTTTTATTAGTTTCATCAGAGTTCTAAAGTTTTTCCCCATATAATTCTTGTACAAAATTTTTGTTAGTATATTTATTTTCATGAGAAATATCAGTCTGTAGGTTTCTTGTAATATCTTTGTCCGTTTTTGGTATTCAGGATAATGCAATTCCCATAGAATGAGTTAAGAAGTATCCTCTCTTCTTTTTTCTGGAAGAGATCATAGAGAATTGGTATAGCCTCTTAAATGCTTGGTAGAATTCACCAATGAATCCATTTGGGCCTAGTGCTTTCTCTTTTGGAAGGCTATTAATTATTGGTTAAACTTCTTTCATAGAAAGAAATGGAATGGAACAATTCCATTCAGATTATCTGTTTCTTCTTGTGTGAGTTTTGGCAGATTGCGTCTTTCAAGGAATTGGTCCATTCCATCTAGATTAATAAATTTGTAGGCACAGAATTGTTTATATTATTTCTTTATTATCTTTTCAATATCCATGCGATCTGTAGTGATGTCCCCTCTTTTATTTCTGATATTAGTAATTTATATCTTCTTTTTTTCTTAGTTAGCCTGGTTAGAGACTTGTGATTTTATTGATCTTTTTAAAAATCAGCTTTTGGTTTCATTGATTTTCTTTATTGATTTCCTGTTTTCAATTTTACTGATTTCTGCTCTAGTTGTTACTATTTTTCTTATTATTATTTTGGATTTAATTTGTTCTTTTCTAATTCCCTAAGGTAGAAGCTTAGATTATTGATTCTAAATTTTTTTGCTTTTCTTATATACGCATTAAATGCTGTAAATTTCCCTGTAAGCATTGCTTTTACTGCATCCCACATATTTTGACAAATAGTATTTTCATTTTTCCTCAAAATATCTTAACATTTCTCTTGAGATGTTTTGACTCATGTTATTTAGAAGTATGCTATTTAATATCTAAGTATTTTGGAATTTTCCAGCCATATTTCTGATACTTATTGCTAGTTTAATTCCAATGTGGTCTGAGAGTAGATGGTGTATGATTCCATTTTTTAAAGAGATTTATTAAGATGTGTTTTATGTGGTCCATCTTGGTGAATGTTCCACATGACCTTGAGAAGAAAGTGCATCTTGCAGTTCTCAGATGAAGTAGTCAAGAGATACCAATTCTATCCAATTTTTGTGATGATGCTGTTGACTTCAGCTATGTTTTTACTAATTTCTCCTTGCTGGATCTATCCATTTTTTAAGATTTTATTTATTTATTAATGAGAGACACACAGAGAGAGGCAGAGACATAGGCAGAGGGAGAAGCAGGCTCCCTGTGGGGAGCCTGATGTGGGACTTGATCCCAGAACTCTGGGATCACACCCTAAGATGAAGGCAGACACCACTGAGCTACCCAGATGTCCCTGGATCTGTCCATTTCTGATAGAGGGCTTTTGAATTCTCCTGACTCTTGTAGTGGATTCATCTGTTTTTCCTTGCAGTTCTATCAGTTTTTGCCTTATGCATTGTGACATTCTCATTAGGCACATACATATTAAGGACTGTATGTCTTCTTAGAGTATTGATCCCTCTATTGTTACATAAATGCCCCTCTTAAATCTGGTAACTTCCCTTGCTCTGATGTCTGCTCTGTCTGATATTAATATACCTACTCCTGCTTTATTTTTTTTATTTTTTTTATTTTGATTAATTAGCATGCTATGTCTTTTCCCATCCTTTTACTTTTAAT